TCATGTGAAATGCACCTCTATATTGGGTTTGGGTGTTTATTATACAACCATAACATCATGCAGCGTCGGCTAAAAGTCTCTCTGGCATAGGTCTATGTAGCTGGCGACGGCTGCTGCTGTTCATTGATAGTAATGATACACACCGGTACCAGGAGATTTAATTTGACCGTGAGGTCCGTAGGTCCGTGACGCTATACTATACGATTTATACGGTTTTATGGGTGTTTTTCGGTGAAATGCGAGTAGTATCTCTCGGTATTAAAGTAGAACAATACTCTCTCACTCCCTCGCGATATATGCCTCGGACACCTTTCGCTCAAGCTCGAGATATTCTACCTTGCATATATCGCTCGGGTGACGGTGTATTATCTCACACATAGAATAGATATTGCAGGGCGGATCCAGGATTATTTGAAGGGGGGGTCCGGTTTTTTAGGAATGACAGGCCTCGGATGCAAGCCGACCCTTGCCCCCTCCTCCACCCCCTTGACGTGGGGTTCGGGGACCGCTGAAGGGCACAGAAAAATTGTGGTATTTTAGAGAGCGAACGGTGCCATTTGCTACGGTCTAGAAATATGATTAAGCTAGTCAAAATTCTAATATCAAGAGGGGAGCATTGGTGTGATTTATTTTTCAGGAACCGATGCGGGAAGGGGGGGCGCAGGATCCCCCTGACAACACCCTAAACCCACCACTGCTTAGGCTGCAGTGTTTTGCCTGTGCTGCGGCCTCATTGCACCCTGAGCTTCAGAGATAACTTGACACTAACCTCTTCACAATAGCCTATCTTCATCGTGTCAGTAACTTGACACGATGAAGATAGGCTATTGTGAAGAGGTTAGTGTCAAGTTATCTCTGAAGCTCAGGGTGCCTCATTGTGACGGCTAGCACAAAATTCATGCGTTGTAGGCCTACTGGTTGTGCTTACCAGGAAAGGTCTCAAAAAGTGTTAACTTTCGACCAGTTTGCGCTCCCACAAAAAAAGAAGAAGGAGAGAAGAAGAAATAGAAGAACTAGCCAGTCCCTTCCTGTGTTGACGTGAAAAAAGTGGGCAGGGGGCTTTTAAAACACCATTCTTTTTATAGCCCACGCTCCGACTGCCGACTAGGTGTGTGAGGAGGGGGCCTTTCCCCGACTTATTCCACTATTAGTTTATTAATTTTCACACGTTATTGAAATCTGGAATTTTTTTATACTTACGAAGTACTAACAATATATCGCAGATTAAAGCTCGAAAGATTGTTCATGCATTGCATAAAATTGTTTTCAGTTTTAATTGTGTATTTTATTTAAAAACAGTTTTCACGCACGCTCCTGTCAGAGACGGGCTACCGAGGTACTTATTGCCCCGGTCCTTTATAAGGAAGGAACAAAACCGGTAGTATTTAATTTTACCTAGCCACTAACATCATTGTCTCGGCATTTTTTCTCTCCGCAACTCATGAAAAAAACATGACAAGTTTTTACTTTTTATACCATTCGTTTTTTAAAAACTATTCAAAAATATTAATTTGTGTAAAAGAACATGAGTATGATTAAAGTAATATTAGTGCAGTTCGTATACGAAGTTCCGATTTCGTACGAGCACCAGAGAAAGGATTATGGAGAATCAACCATCGACAACAACGTTAATTCGTGTAGTCATTTTACATCATATTCAGAAAAAGAATGACAACTGATTTTTAATACAATTAAAAACGCCTGTGAAAGAACCCGGGACTCTTTCACGTTGTTAAATTTCAGTCTCTCGGTTGAAATAAAGAACCCGACGTTTTTAACGCGCTGCAAAAAAAAAAAAATAATAATAATAATAAATAAATAAATAAAATAAAATAAAATAAAATAAAATAAAATAAAATGCCCCATACCTCCAGAATGTTACGACATGTATTGTTATAGACAGGTATGAATCAAATTCAAACAGGCTAATTCAACTTTGATGGAAGCTGTCAAGCACACACGATTATGAATGACAGTTTTTAAAACAAACGTCAAACATAATTACTATACTCTTCTCTTCGAACATCTAAGACTCCAATATCCTTTGATTGACAAGATGCCAATCAAATTCATTAGTTTTGAGAGTTGCTGTGAAGTAATAACAGCTTGATTGGCAGGTTATATAAACAAACGTCAATTACAATCATTACACAGTGGATCACTACAGTCGTCGAACACGTTTAGTTCAAGCTTCCAACATCCTTTGATTGACGAGGTGCCAATCAAATTCAGTTAGTTTTGATGGTTGCTATCAAGAAATAACAGCTTGATTGGCAGGTTATATAAACAAACGTCAATCATCGCGCACTGTGATTTCTCTCGCTGTGAAACAGTGAGTAGGCCTATGCCGAAAGAGAGCGCTAAAATCTGAAGTTAGTAATTTTAATGAAAACTTGCAAAATGGTTCAAGAGAATATATACAATATATACAACATGTTTCCAAAACTAGTTCTCTTTCTGAACCCTTCAGAATATATACAACATGTTTCCAAAACTAGTTCTCTTTCTGAACCCTTCAGCGTGTCTAATACGACACTCTAGATTACAAACTATTTTGTAAAAAGAAGGATTTAGCAAAAGAAACCAATTCAAAAACAGATTCAAGGAAAGAGATATGACATTCTGGAGGTAGCTCTGGGTCATTTCAAAATTAGTACAACTATGTACCCCAGTATATGCGTCCAAGAAGGAAGAATAAATGTATTTGCATTATGTGTGGAATATTGACAGATTCTTTTACTGTCAAAGTCTACTTTCTGCAAAATAAATAAATAAATAAATAAATAAATAAATAAATAAATAAATAAAACTACATCTTCATTAAAGGTGACATTCGTGTTGTGGTTGAGGTAAGTGGTTTAATTTTTGCGAGGCTAAATGTTAGCAAGGCCCTGTGTTAGTAAGTGGATGGGAAACAAAAATATAACTGTAAACAAAAATATTACTATCCTAACAAACAAACCGCTACTTCGCTCTTGTAACTAATTTGTAAGTTTATTTTACTGCAGTAAAGCGTGGATAAAATAGTTCAAAACGCCCTCTCAGTGCCGTTGTTTTTGCGACTTCAGCTGCTGGGGTTAGGTGAAGGGGCGAGGACAGGGGCGGATCCAGGATTATTAGAAGGGGGGGGCGAGGTCCAGAACGACAGGCCTCGGATGCGAAGCCGACCCCCTTGGTGTGGGGTATGGGGCTCAACGGCCCCGACAAAAAAATGGTGTTTTGGAGAGCAAACAGTGCCCATTGTTACGGTTTAGAACTATGATTTAGCTAGTCAAAATTCTAATTTCAAGAGGGGAATATTGGTGTGATAGACCTATATTTTTCAGAAACCGAAGGAGGGGGGGGGGTCAAAAAGAGCCCCAGCTGAACTTTCATTTAAATTGTTGGTAATGTGATCATTCCATATATGGAATAAATTGATAATTGGAGACAGTTGCGCATCGCTATGGGGTGCAGGTACTGTAGTACCGGTATTTTGATGGCATTATAAGGTTCTATTTGTTTTTTTTCTCGAAATACAATCGGGGATAGGCTATAATAAAAATAAAGCCTGCCACCATCAGTTTTTTTTTTTTTTTTTTTTTTTTTTTCAACTTTTTTTTTCTTTTTTTGGTCTTCCTATTTCAACTGAAAATCTAAGTTCTGGAGTCTATAGTCTTTAAAATTTCTTAAAATTCGATCAGTAACAACTAATCCAACTTACTGTATTATCAACCTATTAACTCCATATATAGGCCTACTCTCTTTTCACTTCTGCTCGGGGTCAGCTTTATATTCTGAAGGTCTGCTATTCCAGAGGGTCGCTTTTTGCCAAATTACTATAAACATATATAGACCATCACCAAAGATATAGGCCTACAATACTTTATGTAACTATCAATTTTTTTCTGGTATTTATTACGTGAGTGCGCACACTGCATGCGTTCGAGGGAACAGGTAGGCCTACCGGTACACCCCCCCTCCCCCCCCAAAAAAATAATAATAATAATAGTACTAATAAAGTAATCCGGAAAACCTATGCATGTATGCAAATACGAGTCATATTTTCACAATTTTAAAAATCCGCTGTGTCTGTGGTGTGTAGTGTGTTTACTGTCGCTAGAGGTCGCTTATAGTTCTCAAAACATTGAGTTCCTGCGCACTGTGCAGCTGCAGCATATGTGTGTTGTGTTGATACGGGGATGTCATGACTTAGAAAACAGGTTTTCCTGTTCCTGCGCAGTGAATAAGCTTATTCACCGGATGTCATTCCAGTTCTCGCAAAAAACAAGGTGGGTTAGGTTGTGAGCTAGATACGATGCTTTTTAAAGAAAGACAGATAAATGTCAGTGTAGACTACTAACGTTGTACTACTGCTGTCCGTGTAAAATCAGTGCCAATTATCAATTGAAAATCTACTGTAAAGAGACTGCAGTGCATTTTGTTTTAGCAGTCGGCAATCATGACTCACTTGCTCGCATTTACTCGTGTATCACATCAGCTGATGAATAGACTCAAAGTGTAGGATATCAGTGTTTATTATTTGAAGCCCTATCACGCACCATGCTGTTCAGACTTACATGTATCGTTACGTGTACCCACGCTCGGCTGTCACCTTGATTGGATAGTAAACGATTGTCGTAAAATCGCTAAATGATATTAAAACCGGGTGCATAAACTTGAAAACCACCTACAACAACCTTAGACTGCCACATTAATCCAATACAATGCAAACATAAACTATAACAAGTGGTTAAAGCCTTCAAACCGAATGTCGTAAAGTCCCCATATACCTCCATAGAGACAATAAAATAGAATAAGCTTGTGAAACAAGAAAAATCCAGTTCCAACATAATAATCGAAATAAAATACTGCCGGGCATCGGAGCGGCCTAAAACTTGGCACGCTTACCGCTAATACTGCAGGCTACATCATCCCGTCGCTCGTTTGTAAATTCCGTGCATGGCATACGCACAATCAAACCGTAAAAAACAAATTCTCGGGGTGTCGTTGGCCAGGTCCACTCTAACCTACCATTACGAAAAAGAAGCCATGCCATTGGACAATGCGACCTCTGCGGTTACGTCATTTCCTGAATTGGATTGTTGCGTGGACCTAGCCAACGACACCCCGAGAATTTGTTTTTTACGGTTTGATTGTGCGTATGCCATGCACGGAATTTACAAACGAGCGACGGGATGATGTAGCCTGCAGTATTAGCGGTAAGCGTGCCAAGTTTTAGGCCGCTCCGATGCCCGGCAGTATTTTATTTCGATTATTCTGTTGGAACTGGATCAGGTTTGTTTCAGAAGCTCATTCTATTTTATTGTCTCTATGGAGGTATATGGGGACTTTACGACATTCGGTTTGAAGGCTTTAACCACTTGTTATAGTTTATGTTTGCATTGTATTGGATTAATGTGGCAGTCCAAGGTTGTTGTAGGTGGTTTTCAAGTTTATGCACCCGGTTTTAATATCATTTAGCGATTTTACGACAATCGTTTACTATCCAATCAAGGTGACAGCCGAGCGTGCGTGTACCTGTACGTGTAAAACACACCTTTTTAACATTATCATAAGTACACTCCCCGTGCTGTAGCAGTCACCCTTGTTGAGAATCTATTAAAAGCATTCGACTATTATATGCATAAATAAGGTGTGCTCAAGTCAGAAATCTCTCTCTCTCTCTCTCCTGACTGATATTGTACATGGATTTGTGGACATCCAGTTATGATAAAATTCACTGTTAATGTTCATGTGTATATTCTGCAGTGTATATTGTTTTGTATTGCAGGGCTTTGTAGCAGAATTTAACAAAAAAAATGCATGATACCTCGATGGACCCCAGCTCTTTCACTGACAGTCTTCAGGTTTTGAAACTCTCAGAAGGCAAGCACAGATTCGTTAACAAGAACTACAAGAAAGTGTCTGCAAGAATGTATGACTACAACTGTGATGTTAAACTAACAGTTGGAGATAAAACCTTCAGTGCACATCGTGACATATTATCTGAAGCCAGTGATTATTTTTCTGCCATGTTCAGTCATGACATGCAGGAGAAGCAAATGAAAGACATTGAACTGTTCGAGATCAGTCCTATAGGCTTTGCAGCCATGCTGGAATACTTTTACCATGGCCATGTGTCTCTAGACGCTGAAAAGATTCAGGATGTCATTGAAGCTTCTCAGTTCTTTCAGGTTAAATAGATTATTTAAGAAATAAGAATCTCCTCATAAACTTTATGTATGTTTAAGAAAACATTAGATTGAACATTTATCCTAAATGGCTATTTAAACATACTAGTACTACTCCTATTACTTAGTACTTCCATAGTTGCCTGAAAAAGTAAGAAGTGTACTGTCATTATTTGCTGTCATCTTAAAACACTGTAGACAAATTAATGTTAAATTTGTTTTTAAGCAACACCAGTAATGGAACTAGAGAGACAAAATTGTTCACCTTGATGGACATGTATGAGACTAAAAAGCTGAGATAAGCCTGCATATGTGAACTATATACATATAGTAAATTTAATATATTCCAATATTTCAGGTTGGATGGTTGTCAGAACTGTGCTGCTACTACCTGATCTATCATCTCAGTATAGAAAACTATGGTTTAGTGTTGGACTTGATGGACAGGTATGCTCTGGACGACCTGAACCCTGATATATTCGAGTATATAGGACAGAGTTTCATTCCTTTATCTGAAGAACCAAATTTCAAATTGATCCAGTATGAACTGCTTTACAAAATACTAGCCAGTGATCACTTCATTGCCGCGCCTGAGGGGTATATCCTCAAGACGGTCTTGGATTGGTTAGACCATAACTCGGATCGGTTGAAACACCTGGAGGAAATTGTAGGCTTGATTCGATTTCCTTGTTTGAATTCCCAGCAACTTGAGGAAATCCGTGAAGATTTGCTTGCATACCCTGGGATTGAGGCCTTGGTTACAGAGGCAAAGGAATACCAGGCCAACCCATACAGTCAGTGTCTCGTGGCATCAGAACGGACCCGCGTCCGCGGGGCGCAGCCACTGGTCTCCATGATCTCAGCTGTTGATGATGCAGAGAGTATACAGTTCAAAGTACCAGGTATCTCCTTCATGTAAAGACAAAAATCTTCAAAAAACACCCTTAGATATTATATATAATACTAGTAGTAATTATTTATCTTCTAGTAAAATTGATATGCTCTTTTCATTAGAAGATGCACCTAGAAATTTGTCGAAGTTTTCACTGATGTTTTGTGCACTGATGTTTTGTCACTTGTTTATTTTACGTACATTATTCTATGCTCAGGCAAACAAATATGAGAAATTTTATTGAATTTACTACTAATTAAACTAATTAGAAGCAGTAGGGTTACAGTATGTCAGTGAGTTCATAACAAGGGAACAAATAAGCAAGGGACCACCAGATTTGAACCTCTTATACATCTCTTGCTGGCCATGAGTTTGTGAATGTACTGCCTAGGCCTATTTTCAGTAAGAGCTCATGGACCCTTATGGAAACCATTTTTTTATCAAAGTAAAATCTTCTCTCCATTACTTTAGGTATACCTGGTATGTGTGAGCAGCCATTATCCACTAGCAGCCTCAGTTTGGTTCTGGAATATGCCAGTGTGACATTTATGGGAGACTTTGCATTTGCCGCTGGTGGTTATGGTCGAAGCTACTGCAGCACCAATGTGATGTATCGCCTGGACCCTAGGTGGCAGGTGTGGATTGAGTGCGCTCCAATGCAAGATAACCGTGTGAACTTTGCGCTGGTCAATGATGGCCGGTATTTGTATGCTATAGGTGGTGTGGACCACACAGAACAGGACCAGGAGTTGTTACTAGACACTGTGGAAAGGTGTGTGTTTCTGTGAAGTGCCCTTATATTTATTATCGGTTCACACATGAATATTAGTGTCTAGCTGTGTATGTGTTCAGATGTTTTAATGTACATTTGGCTGTTTGTGCCTGCATGTGGCTGATGTGTGTTAGCATGTGTATATGCTGTGTGTTGGTGTGCATGTGCATATGTTATGTGGTTATAAGTGTGGTTGTGTGTGTTTGTGCATTAGTATACTTGTACCTGTACTAGTATGTGTGCTTGTTGTTGCGCGTGTGTTTTGGTGGATATGTGGATATACAGTACGTGTACAAGTGTGTTTTTATAAGTGTTTTAATTGTAAACCATACATGCTAAATATGTATGTACACTGTGATGGTTTACTGATAGTTCTCTGTTTACACATTCATGCAGTACATCTATAGAAACTTTTTTTATATTCCTAAAGGTACGACCCTGAAGAGAACCAATGGATCAGCCTGCCAAAGCTACCTGTTCCTTGTTTTGATATTGCAGCTGCTGTGAAGGATGGTTGCATTTTTGTCAGCGGCGGCATCTCTGACAATCCCCTGGACTCCGTGCCAGTCAGTCACATGTCTGTGTTTTATCCAACCAATATAAGCTGGGAGAGTAAAGCCCCAATGTTACACACTCGTCAGGGCCACAGCATGTCTCTGTATAACAATAAACTGTATGTATTCGGAGGGTACAGTAGCGAGGATGGCTGGAACATGCGCGACTGCTTTATTAATGAAGTTTATGATATTATGACAGACCAATGGACAGAGTTAACGCCCACTCCCGAAGAATTTGGACATTTCCAACGGTCAGTGACTGTGTTTGGTCATAAACTGTATATTATTGGAGGGACCTCTTCTGAAAGGTATTTGTTCAAGTATGACTTTGAGACTAACCAGTTTGAGGAGAAGGAGTACTGTGGCCCACATTATTTGAAGATTGGAGTGCTGCCTGTGGCTGGGTTTCCTAAACTAGAGGATGAAGGGTGAAGTAAATGAGACAGAATAACACTGTGCCCCTGATTCTTGGTTTCTGACACAAAACTGGATTTTGGTGCAAAAAAGGTACATAAACCAAACTGGCATGGGATCGACATTTTCTGTAACATTCTACCCACCAATCATGACCATGACATTGTAGCCACTGTGCAAAAAGGTCTATAAGTATATACGTACATCACAATGCTCATCTACTCAGCTTTGAAAAGTTGGAAGTGATCATTGCTTTTAACTCTTTCGTGCTTCTGTTCTCATAGCACATTTCAAGTATGATTGAACAAAATTTCACATCTAGGTTGATATTTGGTGAGGAAATAGGGGACAACATTCCTTATTCTGAGCTTACTAATATATTGTGTGGATATTCTGATTTTGAGTAAATGTATATTAAGACACCAGCTTTTTAAATCTCAAAATTGACTGTGATCTTTTTTAGCTCTTTCCTAGCTTGAAGCAACTACTAGCTTGTTTTGAAGTTTTTCTTTATTTATACATTGTTTCACAAAAGAAATATATATTAAAATCCTTTAAAATCCTGTGGTTTTATACCTGGTAAAATTTTATTTATTTATAATGTTGATGGAAAATGGAAATCTCTTGGGGCAATGCATTCACGTTTATTTTTTTCTGACGTTTGAATTAAGTGCAGATGCTTATCACAGTACTTTTGTTGTGGTCATTTTCTGTGTGATTCTTTTTTCTATAATTCTGAATGTTTAAAAAATGTTTTCCCAGAATTCCATGGCAAATCAACAAAAAAATAGACATCATTTCAATTTATTGTTATATACAGATGGTTCTTAGATATATGTTGTGAGAAAATCCTTGTGATAAAAAAGCAACCATCGAGGCTTGTGTGCATGAACTCATATCCTGGCTCAAGTTAAATTATTTATAGTCTTCAGTGAATTAATTGGTTTTCGAAGACAGCACCACACTAGATAGTATCAAAGGTGGATATCCTGTTATCAAAACAAGCACAAAAGTTTGAAAGTTGGGTGTAACTTTAACAACAAACATGAACAAACTGTGTACATCATCTTATTTAAACCTGCAACAAATATTTAGAACTAATGTTATTGATAATAAGCAAACAGAGCAACTCGTCCATGTTTTTGTGACTTAGAGACTTGATTGTTGCAGTATCTTCTTGGTTGATATACCTACATGTAACAATCAAATGTGAAAAAAATCTGCCTATTCAAATTCAGCTGCACATCTCTTACATAAAACTTGCAAGTCTGATAACATTACACCAGTCCTGAGTGATCTCCATTGGTTGCCTGTATCTCAAAGAATAGTTTACAAAATGCTACCCATGACTTTGATAGCTGTAAAGGGCCACTGTCCATTTTATCAGTATAATATTATAAAGCTAGCAAATCCCATCAGAATACTTAGGTCAAGCAGGCAACTTTAAATTGTGAAAGCAAAAATATGCAAAAGACTAATAACAAATGGACAAAAGTTTTGAAATCCCAGAATCAAATTTATTATCAAATTTTACCAACCAATTGATTGTTTCTCTTTATGACACTAATGATAGTTATTAAAATTGTTGCTTATGTATTTCTTTTGAATAAATCTTTGTACTGGTAGGGGTAGTTTTAGATTTAATATGTAAGCAGTGCTGAGACATGTAGTGAGGTTTTAAGAAATAAATTATTATTGTTATTATTATTAAAAATAAAGAAGCTTAAGGGGCAATTTTATTGGTTTTCACCACTTTAAATATCTGGACACTGGTTGCTTTCACCTGACCCCTGTATTGTTGGCCAGTTTTGGCAGCAAATGTTACAGACATCTGTTTTCATAATGTAAGTAATCCCCATATATCTCTCTATTTCAGGGGTCCCAACCGTATTCATATCCTATTGAAATTGCAAGAAATTTGCATTGAAAATCACAAGCCACATAGAATAAGGACATTGTGTGACGAATGATGAAGAATAAAAAGCTGCCTTCACATATGATAGATTTGGGTTCTTTATGGAGCAAGCTAAATAATATGAATTTTAATAATAATATTTCAGGAATCTCGAAAGGGGAGGGGTAATAATAAATGGTTTCCATGGTACGTAACAACAATTCCCAATGGGACCCTCCTTTTACAAGCTGGGTTATAGGGAGATCTGGTCAGCAAAATGTGGGACTGTAAATAGAAATAAAAAGAATCAGCAGAGCACTCTAATTCCCAAACCACTCTATACTGAATCTTAATAAGTATTTATTAAGCATGCACTGTGACAATTTGGTCTGCTTAACATTTTTGCAATTTTCTTTTCCAGAAAGATCTACATTGTTTTGTCCATGTATTTGGTTTCAGTACATTTTTGTATACTATATGAATAAAAAAGAGCAATGTTATACAACTTTCTACAAGTTCATGTTATTGATTAATTTATTCAAAGTAGATAAACTTTTATGCATGTTACCATTTAAAAATAGAAGACACCTGTATGTTTTGAGAGATTAACCAGTTTAGACTTGATAAATCAATTGTTAATCACTTAAAAGTAAAAATCATCATGCAACAATGAATAATTATTTAAATCACAAGTTTACCCTACTGGTCATGGGTATAATGTACCAGGGGCAGATACCCCTTGGTTTCTGAAAAATATATCACACCAATATTCCCCTCTTGAAATTAGAATTTTGACTAGCTAAAATGGGCAACCTCCAAACCCCACTCCCAGTGTAGTACACTAAATTTGACTTGATGACCTCATTATTCAACCTGGTCACCCTATGAAAATATTTATCTTTGGCTAAAATTACATTTTGTACAATTACATATGCAAAAAAATTATATAGCAATAAAAAATACATGCAAATAGGAATAAAATTAAAATACTTAAATATTAGATCCTAGTGATACACATTCTATTATTATTTATTTCTATGGCAACATAAAAATAAGTTAAAAAGCCATCTTACATGTACAACAGAAAGGCTTTTTACTCTTGATACGACAGTTTTTCACCAGGGTCTGGTGTCTCAATTCAGTATCAGTTTGTACTTTTCTTTTCAAAGAACAAGTTTATCAAAAAAAAGTCTGTCTGTGCCTGTACTAGTACCTTGGGCATATAAAAAAATGCGTTTCATCCTCTCTTGGTGGACATTACCATTAATGGTAGAAGTAGAGTGCAGACATATTAAATAGTGCTCACAGCGATACATGAATGCACAATCTCGCCTTTTACTTCAGAGAGAATGGAAATATAAAAGAGCCAATTCACATCAGATGAGGAACAAATGTGCAAATACATGTGCATTAAAGTCCCTTCAACGCTGTTTGTTAGCAAAGTAAATGGTTAAAGATTCATCTAGCGACTAACATCTTGTCACATCTATCACATTTCTATCAATTTTGTGGTAGACGTCACAATCATGTTGAGACAAACGCCAAAATACAGGTATTACCGCAGATCAAAAGCTGTTTTTAGCAGTTGACAAATTCAGTAATAAATTATAGAGAACTCGATTTTATTCTTATTTTATTCTCATCACTAGGTGACTTGCAAAAGTGCAATGCGGGTGCACTTAACGCCTCTCCACAACACTTAAAATGCATTTATAATATCGTTTTGCATGTCGCAATTAGCGTATTTCCATTTGTGGGAAGACTCACAGTTATGTTGTAAATCAAAATGCGGCGTTCTCAGTCAGAAATATAAATACATAAATGAAATAGAATCTTTCTATCTTTCCGTATACTTGTGTCGTTTCTTACGCCGACTGTCTGATAGGATGATGTGCAATGTGGATGGTTTGCATCCAAACTGGGTGTATGAGTAATATAGCGAAGAAATACATGGATTTTAAGCGGCATAAGAAAATTTATTTCAAAATATAATATGCGAAACATAATGTTAACAGTACAAAATTCTAACCTCTACCAAGGTGGCAGATTGTAGGCCTATAGGGAAAAACGGGAAAACACAGCCAAATGACTATTTCTCTAGAGACATATCTGTGAATATCTGTGAAAAATCAATCTGTCGCCCTAGTAGAGGGTAACAAAATTCCACCAACACAGTTAATCGAAATGTGCATAATTCCATGCCCCATTGTCGACGTGATAATCTGACCTTCATCCCTGTGTAAATTGCTTGGAAAGAAAAGACAATGTATAGTAACCCTACCGGTAAATCTTGGAGTTACCGTCATCGTGAAATTAAATTATCTAAAACCCTTGATAGTTTTTTATATTTTCCCCTGTTAAAGCAGATAACTGACAGAGCATCCAGTGTTGTTAAGATAAACATACTCAGGATTTTTTATCTCCCTTAATGTGGACGCTGAAATAATACCATGTTGATCGATGTCTCAATTTAAACTCTCTGTCTCTCTTAGATAAAGTTTCTGCGTGCTGGTATCATAGATCACGACTGTACTGATCAAGCACCCTGCTCTATGACAGTGAAAGAGGGTTGGTACGGAAGACACCCTGATTGTACACGTAAAACACTTTCTATTAAAGACGACGCATTAATTTTCTATTGATTTTTTTGTTCGTAACCTGTCGATCCTACTCGGTTCTATTCGCTCGTGCATCTTATTTCCTACCATCCAATCTGGCGGTATGAGTACCATAACGTTTACGCAGTTGAAAGTCTAAAGTGGATTCTGAATATCAAAGACTGGCAGCCTTTGATAAGAAGTTTAGCATATACCTGTAAAGTCAGTGCCTCACAGCCAGAACGGTGGTGCAAAAAGAAAAACACCGAATCGAAATGATTTATTCATTTTATGTTTTTAATAGACACAAATACTTCACCAAGACCGGTTATTTTAACCATACCACTTTTAGCATAGTGGCTTGCTGACTGCGACGGTATTAATTTGTAAAAAAATAATTACTGAACACAATTTGCGCTCCTCTCTCTCCCGGTCCAGGGATGTCAGCGACCTTTTCCATCAATCACAGCCGTACTAATCAAGCATTATGCTCTATGACAGTGAAAGGGGACGGGGAGAGTGGACACCAGACAATTGAAACCACTCTCCTTCATTGTCGTCTCATTAAGTTTTTATGGGCAATGATGTATTGTTCATACTGTGACATTTCTACATAAGTCAGATTACTCATGTGTTTTATTCCAATAAAGTATACTGTTTTAATGTCACGCATTAAAGTAAATTGATTGTTACGCGCATCACTCCGATATCATTTAATCTAGGGAATACATCACATGACGAGTATCCATCATCTAATGGGACTCGTTGTATGGATGTATCATTTGCCTAATTGATAGATTAATGTTCTAGTTCGGTGTAAATCAACACTTCGAACAGCCAAGTAAAACCTCCCAGGCCTCAGACGTCTGCACTTACATTGTACATGTCCAAGTCATAGTGTAGTTCTGAGATACATTATAATGCCCAACTCGCGAAGCTGTAAATTGTGGACACACAATTGGAATATTAATGTATCGGAATCAATAAATCATCAGATTGCACCACTCCCATATATGCTGGTTACACAAGTAAACAGAACGAAGCTTTTTTTGCACGTGCAAGTGTGCATTCATCGACACACGCTTATGAGACATGTCTATGAGAATGAGCAAAATGACGCGGTCCATGTTCCTTTCAGTTTTCTCACTTTTCTTTGTGTGCAGAATAAGTGATGGCATTAGCCTCTTGAAAATGTCTGATGCGGGCTCATTATTTCGCGAATGTTTGAAGACGATTACGTTGAAAACACCGGCGCTGGCGAATTATAAATCGTCGCAGTTAATTCAACAATGTGCCTGGGATGCGTGTGAGAGACAGACGAATACACGTACAGAGGGTAATGCAACTGTTCTGAACAAAGTTGGGATATGCGGTATTATTCAAAGTCCAAATTTTGGCCAAGGTTCTTATCCACCGTCGCACAGACAGAGATGGATGATAACCATTGCTAAGGGTAGCGGGGTAAGGTTAAGATTAAACCATTTCTCACTAGAATATTCAGACGTCAACTGTATATTCGATTACCTTGCCGTATTCATAGGGCAATGTAGTGCATCCCGTCTGTTCGGTAAATTTTGCGGAAAGCTTACAATTTTCAACTCAACGGAACTCACCCTAGCCGGAAATGAGTTCTGTGTCGAATTTTCCACAGATGGTGATTGGGAATCGTCCGGATTTCACATCGAATACCAGGCAGTATTTCCAGACTGTTACCAGG